TTCTCGCCCCTCTCTTTCTCTCACTCTCTCTCTCTCTCTCTCTCTCTCTCTCTCTCTCTCTCTCTCTCTCTCTCTCTCTCTCTCTTCTCTCTCTCTCTCTCTCTCTCTCCTCCCTCCCACTCCCTTCCTTCTTCCCACTCCCCCCCTCCTCCTCCTCCTCCTTTCCTTCTCCCCCTTCTCTTCTCCCTCTCCCCTCCTCCTCATTTCCCTCCTTCGCCCTCTCCCAATCCTTCCTCTCTCTCTCTTCCAAACCCTCTTTCTCTCTTCTCTCTCACTTCTCTCTCCCTCTCTCTCCTCCCTCCCCTCTCCCCTTTATCTCTTTCCCCCTCCTCCCTCCCTCTCTCAATTCCCTCTTTATCCCCCCCCCCCTCTTTCCCTCCTCTCCCCCTTCCCTCCCCCTCCCTCCCCTCCCCTCCCCTCCCCTTCCCCTCCCTCCCCTCCCCTCCCCCTCCCTCCCCTCCCCTCCCCTCCCTCCCCTCCCCTTCCTTTCCTTCCCTACCAACCGAAAGATGACCTTTTCCCTTCCTCCCTTCCCCTCCCTTCCCTCCCCTCCCTCCTTCTCCCTCCCTCCCAACCGAAAGATGACCTAACCCCCCTCCCCCCCCCCCCCCCCTCCCTCCCCAACTACCCAAACTGAAGGATGACCTCACCTTTTTCCCCTTCCTCCCTTCCCCGCAGCGCCTGGACCTGCATGCTGAACAAACCGCAGTGGAAGAACGCCACCACCGTGTCCTCCACCATCCAGTACCAGTATTCTCTCGACGACCAGTGCCGGATGGAGTTTGGCGAAGGGTGAGTGAGGGGGAGAGGCAGGAGGGAGTGGGGGAGGGGGGAGTGAGGAGTGAGGGTGAGTGTGGAGAGTGTGGGTGAGGGAGAATGAGTGAGGGTGTGGGAGTGAGGGAGTGTGTGCGGGGGTGGTAGAGGGAGTGTGTGGGAGTGAGGGAGTGTGTGAGAGTTAGGAGAGTGAGGGTGTTGTGGGAGTGAGGGAGTGTGTGAGAGTGAGGGTGTGAGAGTGAGGGTGGGAGTGAGAGAGGCGAGTGTGTGAGAGTGAGAGAGGAGTGTATGAGAGTGAAATGATTGAGATACAAGGGGAGAGTGAGGGAGTGATTGTGTGAGAGAATGAGAATGAGAGGGAGTGATGATGAGTAAGAGTTGGTGATTGAAAGTGAGGGAGTGAGTGAGAGTTAGTGAGTGCGTGCGTGCGTGAGTGAGTGAGGGGAAGGTGCTCGGAAAATGACCCGTTTTAATCGTTGTTGTTTTTTGTATGTAATTGTGTGCGCGAGTGTGTGTGTGGGTGTGTGTGTGTGTGTGTGTGTGTGTGTGTGTGTGAATTTTGTGTCGTGTGTGTGGTGTGTGTGTGTGTGTGTGTGTGTGTGATGTTTGTGTCGTGTGTGTGTGTGTGTGTGGTGTGTGTGTGTGTGTGTGTTCGTGTGTGTGTGTGTGTGTGTGTCGTGTGTGTGTGTGTGTGATTTTGTTCGTGTGTGTGTGTGTGTGTGTGTGTGTGTGTGTGTTTGTGTGTGTGTGTGTGTGTGTGTGTGTGTGTGTGTGGTGGTGTGTGTGTGTGTGTGTGTGTGTGTGTGTGTGTGTGTGTGTGTGTGTGTGTGTGTGTGTGTGTGTGTGTGTGTGTGTGTGTATGACCGTGTAATTTTGTTCCTGTATGTATGAGTGTATTTGTGATCATGTGTGTGTTACGTATTCAGTGATATTACTTTTTTAAATTCGTAATTGATATAGATTTTAGATTGATATTAGATTAAATGTTAAAAAACTGGATCCATCCTATTAAATGTTTTTACCGATTTATACGAACAACATCCATAAGGGAATTTCATTATCTAAATCAAAATGGGGAAAATGCGGGAAAGAATAAAAATGGGAGTAAAGGATTGAAACTAAAGAAGAAAAAATATAAACAAAAGCAAAAACAAAAAATAACTTGCCTACAGAGATGAATTGAAACGGTAAGAATGATATAATAACAATGATAATAATAATGATGATAATAATGATAATAATAATGATCATAAGAATGATTATAATAATAATAATAATAATAATAATAATAATAATAATGATAATAATTATCATAATAATAATAATGAAAATAACAATAATAAAGATAATAATAATAATGATAATAGTAATGATAATAGTAATGGTAGTAGTAATTAATAAATAATGATAATGATAATAATGTGGTTGTGTCTCATTCATAGAAGAAAATAATATTCATAAGGAAAAATATAAATCTTTCTTCTAGTCAAAATATTTTAAAGAAAAAAAAACAATTCTTATCAATTTAAAAAGCTCAGAGGAAAAAGTTAAAAAAAAAAAAAAAAATATTGCAATTTAAGATGTCCATAAAATATTATGATTTTTCTTATATTAAAGAATATACACTTTGGAAACTTGAAATTCTTTCTAGTTATAAAAATATTCATAAGGAAAAAATATTTCTTAGTTAAAGAAAAAAGATGTTCAAAAAATGAAAACCCACAATTCCTTTCGTACAATTAAAGAATATTCATAAAAAATACGAACATTTTCATACAAAAGTAAAATATTCACAAGAAATAAAAATATAATAAAAATATCTACACAAAAAATCATACCATTGGAAATATTCACAGAAAAATACGATTATTTCGTACATGAAAGAGCATTCACAAGAAAAAGATATATATGATTCCTTCGTGCAATTTAAAATATCCGCACACAAAATGTCCACACACAAAATACCCACGCACAGAATACCCACGCACAAAATACCCACATCAAATATCCACGCACAAAATATCCACACTCAAAATACGTACAGAATATCCTCAAACAAAATACCCACACTAAATATCCACACACAAAATACCCACGTACAAAATATCCACACACGAAATATTCTCACAAAATACCCACACACAAAAACACCCACACACACAAAACTACCCAACAACACACAAACACCACACAAACAAAATACCCACACAAAACACCACACACACAAAATGTCCTCACACAAAATACCCGCACACAAAAATACCCACAAAAATATCCATACACACAAAACACCCACACAAACAAAGTATCCACACAAACAAAAATTCCACACACAAACAAACACCCACAAACAAAAAACCCACACACAAAACACACACACACAAAAACACCCACACACACACAAAACACCCGCACACAAAATACCCACAAAAATATCCACACACACAAAACACCACACAACAAAACACCCCACACACAAAATACCCACACAAACAAAATATCCACAAAAATATCCACACACACAAAACACCCACAAAAATATCCACACAAAACACCCACACACACAAAAAATATCCACAAAAAATATCCACACAAACTATAATCTTTCTCTGCGTTTCCCCAGCTTCGGGTTGTGCCAGCAGATGAGCCTGACCGACCCCTGTATCCACTTGTGGTGCAGTAATTCTTCGTCGCCCCACCTGTGCAAGACCAAGAAGGGACCGCCCCTGGAAGGCACCATCTGCGGGGACCAGAAGGTGCGTTCAACCAGCTGGAAGAGTTGGGGGGGGGGAGAAGGTCATTTAGAGAGGGGTGGAAAAGTGATGGGAAGAAATAGGTCTTGATAAAGAGGGGTGGAAGAGTGGGAGGGAAAAAAATGTCTTGTTAGAGAGAGGTGGAGGGAGGGAAAAAGGTCATTTAGAGAGAGGTGGAAGAGCGGGGGGGAAAAAGGTCATTTAGAGTGGAGTGGGAAAGTGGTAGGAAAAAAAATGTAATTTAGAGAGGGGTGGAAGAGTGGGAGGGAAAAAAAGGTAATTTAGAGAGGGGTTGAAAAGTGGTAGGAAAAAGGGTCTTGTTAAAGAGGGTGGAAGAGGGATAGGGAAAAGGGTCATTTAGAGAGGGGTGGAAAAGTGATGAGAAGAAATAGGTCTTCTTAAAGTGAGGTGGAAGAATGTGAGGAAAAAAAGGTCATTTAGAGAGGGGTGGAAAAGTGATAGGGAAAAAGGTCATGTTAAAGAGAGGTGAAGAGGGGGGGGGGGATGACAGGAAGATAAAGAAAAGTGAAGAAAAGAAAAAAAAGTCGAAACTGTAGATTAAGGGACTGAATACACGTTTTATTATTATTATTATTGTTATTGATAATTGCATTCAGGTAAGGATTTTTAAGAGTCAGTTAAGATTTTTTTTTGTCCTTTGATTGTCTGATAAAAGTCCTATTCCGGGGTTTCATCTTCTTCGGACGAACGCTTCCCTATGAGCCCAACCCATCCCTCACTTCCCTTCCCCCGCTCTCCTCTCGACCGCCTTTCCACCCTTCGGGCACCTCCCCCTCCCCCCCTCAAGCAACCCCACCCCCCACTAACCCCGTCCCCCCCTCAAGCAACCCCACCCCACTAACCCCCTCCCCCCCTCAAGCAAACCCCCCCCACTAACCCCCTCCCCCTCCAGTGGTGCCGCCACGGCTTCTGCACGTCGATGAGCCAGCGCGTGGAGGGCGGCGACGGCGGCGGTGGCGGAGGCGGCGGCGGCGGCGAGTCCCCGGTGCGGCACAACCCGCAGGACGGCGGCTGGGGCGCCTGGAGCGGCTGGGGGCCCTGCTCGCGCACCTGCGGCACCGGCGTCGCCTTCCGCACCCGCAAGTGCGACAACCCGCCGTAAGTGTTGGCGCAGTGGCGACCGGACGAAGGACCGCCGCGATGGGTTTGTTTATCCGCTTGTGGGTTTATGTTGCATTGGTTGACAGACAGACAGACAGATGTCTCTGCCAAGACACTGACTCCTCCCCCCGCAGGCAGGCCTGGGGCGGGCGGCGCTGCCGCGGCAAGCGCGAGGAGTGGAAGGTGTGCGGCACCGACGAGTGCCAGCTGCCGCGCCAGGACTTCCGCGGCCAGCAGTGCCACCTCCTGCCGCGCATCGTCAAGCTGGACCGGCGGCGCGCGGCGCTCAGCTGGCTGCCCTACGAGCCCAAGAGCAGTGAGTTGCGCGCAAGTGTGTTTGGGTGTGAGAGA